CCTCCCCCCCCCCCCCCCCCCCGCCTCCGGGGCCCTTCGGGGATGATCACCTGCTCAGGGCCTTGGGGTCGGCTAGATGCTTGGCTGGCCACACGGGATCCGTGCTGGGGAGAGAGAGAGGATGCGGCACCCGCTGAAGGCTGGCGAAGGGGCGAGAGAGAGAGAGAGAGAGAGGCGCGCTGTGCTGATGGTACTCCTGCCGCCGGCTGGCGAGCTGCCTCTCTCGTTGGTTGGCTGGCTGGCTGGCTCTTTCTTTCTTTCCTCTTCGGGCGTTTGATGCGCACTGAGGCTGGCTTCGCCGGGCGTGTGTGCGCGTCTGTGCGCTCCCAGTCCCTTTCTCACTGTCTCCCTCTAGCTCCCAAACGCCTATTTAAACAGCCACCACCTCCGGTGGCCACGCCACATGGGCTGACAATTTTGCTCCTCGCCGCAGTCCAATGAGAGCCGGAGCTGGGCTTCCCCGGCGCAGAGCTTGGGGCAATGCCAGCCCCCTGGCTCACGAGAGCCTCTCGCGATCGCCGAAGGGAGAAAAGGAGGTAAAGAGTAGCGCCCCGGGAGCACGCGCTGCCCCATACCCCGGGCGCCTGGGCAGCGGTGCCAGGCAGGAATCAGGCGGGGCAGGAGCGGCGCGCATGGCTGGCTGGCTGGCTCGCTCGCGGGGTCAAGCAACGCAGGCTCTCTCTCTCTCTCTCGGTGCCCCCCATCCACGATCACTCCCAAGGCCGCCCGTCTGCCCAATTCTCTTCCCCGACGCCCTTCAATCTGACGTGCCCCCGACCCCTGCGGGCGGCAAACGAGACGGGGCAAGGTGGTCGCCCGGCTCTCATTTTGGATATGAAGTCTGTTTTATGAAGCTATGGGGCCGGATTGAATCACCGGCACCTGGGAATTAGGGGGTAAAACGCACACTCCCTACTGTGCCCACTGGCGATTTTGGGGGGGGGGGGCTCAGCAGGGAAGGGACCCGTTTGTCCCCAGTCCCTATTTCGTGCCGGGACTCGGTGGCGCCACCCGTTGGCCGTGTGTGGCAAGCGCGCGAAGGAGGGACGGACGGACGGCTGTGTATTCTTCCTTCAGCCTTGCTTGAAGGAGGCGGGTGTTTCCTTTAAGCTGCTTCGCTGCAGGGCACGCGAGGAGGAAGCGCCAGGGTTTGTGTCGCCGTAAAACCCAAAAACGTTTCATTTAAGGACATTTCTGTCGTTTGGGGCCCAGTTTGTGAGGAGGAAAAAAAAATAAAAGGAAAGAAGGCCTTTTTAGCGGGAAGAATGCCGCGCAGTTGGGAAACGAGCTGGCTGCTGCGAAAACTTCGCTCCGAGATGCGTATAGGGAGACATTCGCATCCTGCCTCCGGTTGACCTGGCTTTGAGGGAGAGCTGACGGTGCTTATGTGCTTATCACTCCCCTAATGGTACACAAACAGGGCCGTGAAGCCTGGGAAAGGAGCGTAATTAATTCCTTTCCTCCGCCTGCCTGCCTGCCTGCCCGCCCGCCGGGCTGCTGTTGTGTGCGTCTCTCGCTGGGAAGAGAAAGACGTACTAATTAGGCTTATCCCCTCAGATTTGTCTCCCAGTGCTCGGGCGGGCCTCAATGGGCCGCAGACTCGCTCTCTCGGGAAGCAACTGGTGGCCCCGGAGAGGAACGCGGGCGCGTTGCTCGGCTCGTTACACTCTGACCGAGTTCTTCCCCTGAAACACCCGGCGAGCGAAAGGTACAAAAGAGAGGCAGCCCATTTCCCCCTTTAGGGCTCTCAGCCATTGATGGAGGCGTCCAATCAGGAGGCCGGGGGATGTAGGAGTGTATGGGGCTCTGCCAATCTCCGAGGCTGTGTGGGTGTTGCTAGGAGATAGGGTGATATGGTGACTGCGCGAGGGGGATGGCTCTGTTTAGGAAATGAAGCTCGCGGTGATGCAAGGCGCGCCTGCGAATTGTGGCTTATTTCAGGTCATTCACCTCACAAGAGTGCGAGCTTCCTCGGTTACTACAGTTCAGTCCACCTAAGACAGACTCCGGCGCAGTGAAATGCGCTCTAGGGACTGTATTTTCCCCGAGACAGACCTCTAGGGGCTTAAGAGGGCCGCTAACTAGAGATCCTTATGGCTGGGGACGACCAACTCCTTCCTCACAACTCACCACAGCCTCTGTTCCTCTATTCTTTACCTCACTGCGTTTGTGGATAATAATTTTGTGGGTAGTGCTGCTTTCACCGCTTGAGGCTGAAAACACTGTATAATCTTGCTCTCTCTTTCTCTCCGCTCACAGGAAGATACTCTGCTAGACTTCTGAGGTCTGGCTCCCGACACTACTGGCTCCCAGGACATTGGTGATCTCTGGGCTTATACCTAGCCTCCCACTTGCTGCCCCCACATGCAGCACTCCTGGTAGCAATTGTGGTGCAACAAAGCAGGCACCCACTTCCTCTCCAAAATGTGTCTGCAGCTGATGAAGTGGACTCCAGTTCATACCACAAGACTGGTTTCATCTTAAGCAGACTTTACAAGTGACACTCAAAAGAAGTGAGACTGAGGATTCAAGAGAAAGAGAGAGAGAGAGAGAGAACTATGAATTACTCTTGCTTGCTCCTTTTACTCTCTTGAAGACAGGCACCTTCAAATCTGGATCAGTCCAAGCAATCCCACCATATGAGGTGGGAAGTAAAGTGCCCCCCTTATATTGTTTGAGGGTTACCCCCAAATCATTTACATATACAGTCACATGTGGCAATGTAAACACACCCAACCAAACTTTTTGCCACCACCCCCCCAGCTGCAGCAATAAAGTTAGTCAGCGGAAGCTAATGCTAGCGGTGGCACCCTTGCATGCTGCTAGACCCAGCCTTCAGAGGCTTGTTTTAATAAGATACAGTTATTTCTTTAGTGCCTGACTCTATGGATTCCTCAGAGCCACAAATTCAAAAAATAGCTGGCTTTGGAGCCAGAAATAACTGCTCTGGCCCATGGTAGGAGCTCTCCAGAGCAGCATGGGCCCTTCTAAGTGGTAACATTTTTGGCTTTCTCACCCTAACATAACTTTCAGGGCTGCCATGGAGATAAAATAAGGGAGAACCATGCATGTTGCATGGGCCCATTGAAATAACAGTATCATGTTTTCATAATTTGTAGATACACATCTAGAAACAAACAAAACAGCAAGTTCCCAAATCCTATTATTTATTCCCTGTTATATTAAATTGCTCATGAAAGTCACTTACATTTAATTAATATTGGTTTTGTAGAGTTTGGGGTCCCATCAGAGTAGGTTACAGCACTTAGGACACTTTGGTGTGTCTTCTGTCATGCATACTTCCAGTGTCCAATGAGGGAGGGGTTATGCCAATGGGAAAGCTGCTCATGGCAAGCAGGAAAAATATATGCTCCATAATTATGTTCCTATGGATTGTTCTGCCCTCTTTAAACTTGACTACAAAAATTAAAAACTCCACTTAGGAAAGTATTCCACCTAGTGATTGAAGATGCTATTGCAGGCTTCTTCACACTGACATACTTTGTAAGAAAGGAAGAAAAATTTCATTCCATCATATTGTTTCAAAACTTTTTTAGAAGCAATCCTATTTATGCTATTTAAAGCAGTGGTTCTTAACATGGGCAATAATGCCCCCCAGGGGGCAATTTCATTTCTCAGGGAGGCAGTAGAACGAAAAGGGGCAGCATGGGGGCGGCGGAACAAAAGGGGGCGGTAGGGGAGCGCTGGAGTGAGCCAAACCTGTGAAGGCGGCTGCAGCCACGGTGCCAGTGGTTCCAGTGCCGCCGCCACCAGACATTCCAGCTCTTTCTGCCTGCCACATCTCACCTTTCTCCCTTAGGGGAGCACCGAGTGTGGATTTGGTGGAAGGAAAGTGTCTCTCGGATCCCCGTCCTCGCCTGGTGAAGTGATACCTCGCACCCGGGTGGGGAGGGAGAAATGAGCCCTGTATTTCCATCATGCCCACCTTCCCACCCATTGCAAGGGAAGGCCTCGCACCCAGGTGGGGAGGGAGAAATGAGCCCTGTTTTTCCATCCTGCCTTCCTGCCCACCTTCCCACCCATTGCAAGGGAAGCGCGGAGAGAAACAGGTTGGTTTGGGGCGGCGCGGCAGGATTTCTAGGGACAGGGCTGGCTCGGGTCCGTCCTGGGTGGGTGGGAATTCGGCAGTTTTTCCGGCTTTTCTTGTTGTCCTGTTGTGGCTGGCTGGCTGTTGAATTTTATTTTCAGGAGTCATTGGACTTAAGTGTCTTTCTTGAATAAATAAATAAATATCGCCGTGAGGGGCAATGATAACTTCCTCAATGGCCCAAGGGGGCGTTTCTTTCAAAAAAGTTAAGAACCGCTGATTTAAAGCATTTAATTCTCAGCATTTTTATCCCATTTTGACAGGAAAGGCTTCCTATTTCCTGTTACATTCAGAAAATTAGCTATAGAAGATTAGGACGTTCTGTAATTCCCAGTGTCATAGTAAAAAAATTGGTAAAATTTTTGGAGGAAAGGAATGGATGGGACAGATATACAGTGGTGCCTCGCACAGCGAGGTTAATCCATCCCGGATTAACCCTCGCTGTGTGAAACATCGCTGAGCGGGGTGAAAAAGCCCATTGGAACGCATTAAACAGTGTTTAATGCGTTCCAATCGGCTGCTGTACTCACCGTTCAGCGATGTTTCTCCGATGGCCAGAGCCATTTTCGAGCCCTCCCCTCACTGAACGAGGGCGTGAAAATGGCTGCGATCAGCTGTCCGGCGGGTCCAAAATGGCCGCCGGAACAGCCGAAATGGCTGGCTGCAGCGTTTTTGCGCCCTTGGTATGCAAGGGGAGAGCGCGAAAACGCTGCACGCAGCCATTTCAGCTGTTCCAGCAGCGTTTTCGCGCCCTCCCCTTGCTTACCAAGGGCGCAAAAACGCTGTGGCTGGCCATTTCGGCTGTTCCGGCAGCCCTTTTGAAGCCGCGGAACAGCTGATCGGCGGGTCGCAAAGCGAAGGTCGGTAAGCGAACCGCTTACCGACCTTCGCTCTGTGATTTTTGCCCATTGGGGGCATCGCTCTGCAATCGCATTAGCGATCGCAAAAGCGTCACCGTAGAGCGAATTCATCGCTCTACGGGGCGCTCGTTGTGCGATGCACCACTGTAATTTAATTCTTAATAGTTATATTTCTTGTCTTATCTCAATTTCTAAAATCCTCTGAATTTTATATCCTTTAAGAAGTAGTTAATTTCTTTGCTTGGCTCAATCTGCCAAGCATGTTTACCCAGATTCTCAGTGCAGCAATCATACAGGTTGGGGCAGCAGGAGTTACAGTATTCTGTAATTAATCCCAGCTTCTTGTCTAGAATTCCTGTTTGGATGAGCTCTAGTTTCAAGTACTGTACTGTATTTGTACCTGGTGACAGGTGAGAGGGACAGAGGAACAAGTCTAATGGTGGAGAAAGAACAAGGAAAAGGCTGTGTGGTCCTCAATATTATGTATGGATCACTTCACTAGCCACCCTTTGTAATTTAACTGATTAAGGTTACCAAGTTTTGTTGTTCTGATGGATATAAACATTCACATCAAGACTGCCTTGTTTGTGGCAGCTCAGGACTTCATTGATGACAGCATGCATATGTTGCATTCTCATTCACAATGGTGTTCTTAACTCAGCAATAATGTATTAGTTTGGATGTGATGGATTGCTTACTACTCATCTCTTAAGACAATTTCCAAATGAAGGTTAGACTAGCAATTTCTATTACACTCTGCAGGAATATGGATCTCTTATAGTGTGCCTTAGAGGTGAACTGGAGGGATTTTCAAATGTTCTTGGGGAATTTCCAGTTCCATTCCGTGGGATGAATTTCAGTTGCTGCATTCTGAGGACATAGACCATATATTTTCATAGAATCATAGAATAACTTATTTGGAAGGTGACTATAAGGCCATTGAGTCCAACCCAGTGCTCAGTGCAGGAATCTAAATGAAAGCAGATCAGACAGATTTTCTGTTCTGGCGTTCTCCTGAACGCCTTGAACATTCGAGCACTCACAACCTCCCAAGATAATTGTTTCCATTGTCATACTGTTAAGAAATTTTTCTTGATATTCAGCCGAAATCTGGCTTCCTGTAACTTGTGTCCATTATTATATATCCTGTACCTTGGGATGATTGAGAACAGATTCTGTTCCTCCTTTGTACGACCTTTCAAGTATCTGAAAAGTGGTATCATATCTCCTCTCAGTCTTCTTTTCTCAAGGCTAAATATGCCCAGTTCTTTCAGTCTTTTCCCATAGGGCTTGGTTTCCAATCCTCTAATCTTCGTTATTGCCCTCCTCTGAACTTGCTCCACTTTATTGACATCCTTCTTAGTGTGGTGTCCAGAACTGGACACAGTAGATGAGGCCTAACCAGTGCTGAATAGAAGGGGACTAGTATCTAATGAGATTTAGGTAGTAAAGACTATACTTCTGTTAATGTAGCCTGAAATAGCACTGGCCTTTTTTGCAGCCATATTGCACTATTGGTTGATATTCAGCTTGTGATCTACAACAATTCCGATCACTCATAATACCACTGAGCCAAGTACCTTCCATCTTTTTACTGTGTGTTTGGTTCTCCCTTCTCCCAAGTGTAGAACTTTGTACTTACCTTCGTTAAATTTTATCCTGTTGTTTTCACCCCAGTGCTCCAGGCTTTCAAGATCTTTTGAATCTTGTTCCTATTTTCTAAGGTATTAGATATTCCACCCAATGTTCAGTCAGTGACAAATCTGATAAGTATTCCCTGCATCTCCTCATCCAAGTAATTAACAAAAAGGTTGAAGAGTACCAGGCCCAGGACTGAGCCATTTGTTACTCCTCCCGTTTTGAGAAGGAGCCATTGATAAGCACTCTTTGAGTATGATTCTGTAAACAACTGTTTATCCACCTTACAGTTGTTCTATCCAGCCTACACCTAGTTGGTTTGTTGATCAGAATATCATGGGATACTTTGTTGATGTCAAGATATTACTGTACATCTATAGCATCCCTGCCATCTACCAGAGAGGTTACCTGATCAAAAAATGAGATAAGATTGGCCTGGCAGGATTTGTTATTGACAAATCCTTGTTGATTTCTAGTTATTAATGCATTGTTTTGAACGTGCTTGCAGAGTGACCACTTTATAATCTGCTCCAGAATTTATCTGGAATTTATGGCAGGATAACTATGGTCAGTAGTTCCCCAGTTCCTGTTTTTTTGCAGATAGGGACAGTGTTAGTCCTCCTCCAATCATCTAGCACTTCATCTGTCTTTCATGTTTTCAAGAAAATAATAGACAGAGGTTCTGAGATCATAAGTACAGCCTGCTCAATGCTTGCTACCACCCAGGTTTAAAACATCTAACTGGATTCCAGATATGATAAATGCCTCATTACAACAAAGATTCATCCCAGGCACCTCAAACAGGGCAGTTTAAAAGTCCCTCCTCAATATGCTTGTATGAGTCTCTGAAATTCTACAATGCATACTGTTTCAGTGGTTCTGTTTGTACCTGGAAGTTTACTCCAGCCACTGGTGGTATGGAAGTAGTTGACCTTTTAGTGTGTTTACTTCACAATTACAGATTTCAGTTTTGATTCCCATGATCTTTAACATCTACATGCAACTGCTGGATGAGATCATCTGGTATTTCACATTGAAGTAGCATTAAAATTTTTTATTAAAAAATACAAAGAAATAACACATCTAAAACATTTAAACAACTAATAAAAATCTAATAAAGAAAAACTAAAACAAAGTCTATATACATAATGTACCCACCACTGGGATCATTCGGGAAAACATGCCTATACTACCTACCCTTGTGGAGCCCCCTTCCCAAAATTGTACAGGCTCTTGAGTTAAGCTTGCCCCTTCCCCTTTATTAATACAAAATTTATAAAGTCTCCCCATATGTCTACAAACACATATCTGCCAATTGCCACCTCTTAACTCATATATCACATATAAGTGTATTATTGTTATACCCCAGAATCCCCTATGCCATTCAATTATAACAAAATACTATGAGCCATTTTCCAGTTCCTAGCAATAATTGGTGTTGCTGCTGTTAACAAATTGGAAACAAATTCTCTACTTGTTGTTGTGGGTTTTTCGGGCTCTTTGGCTGTGTTCTGAAGGTTGTTCTTCCTAATGTTTCACCAGTCTCTGTGGCCGGCATCTTCAGAGGACAGGAGCAGCACTCTGGTGTAGTTTGTTTGGGAGTTGAGTATTATGGCTGTGGGACCAGATTTTGTCCTTTTCAGGAGATTAGGTAATTATGGTGGTCAGTGTGTTTTTGTTGTGGGTGTTTTGTTGTGATAAGGAGGAGAGATTATACAACCTTCAGAACGGCCAAAGAGCCCGAAAAACCCACAACAACCATTAGATCCTGGCCGCGAAAGCCTTCATTAATGCAAATTCTCTAATTGTTCAATTACCTGCCTCCTGTTTTAAGACATTTATTTCCTTGAATCCCAAATGCCAAAATTTTAGCATATACTTGTGTTCCCATCTCATATGAAAATATGTACTTATTTTTTTTGCAACTTCATTCACTCTTGATTGTCATTTATTTGTACTTATAAATCTCTAAACTAGCTTATATTTTTCTTCTTCTTTCCTTATTGACATTGATTTAAATACTCCAGTATTTCATATGTTTCTAGCCTCTCAAGGGAGTATGAGCTCAAGTGCGTGCATGCACATGCACACACAAAAGCAGCGCTAGTACTCACATGCCTCCACAAAGTCTCTCTTCCCTCAGTCCATTTTTTAAGAACAGCCTCCTACCCAAGTGGGTGTGTTGTACAAGGTAAAGGGAACATGCAAAAAGCAAAGCACTGTATGATTTGCTGTGAAAATGCTTTCTCATTTAAGGAGAAAGAGAAGGCATGCAAGAGAGGGGGCAATTAGAGTGAGGAGTAGTGTGTGAGAGAGGGAAAAGGAGAGAGAGTGTGAATGTGTACACACACACACACACACAAACAAACAAACATGCAGCGACAATGCTCACATCTCTCTGGAAAGACTCTGCTCCCCTAAAATGCCACTTTTTAAAACAGCACCCCCATACTCCTGTTTATTAATTCATTAACTTTTTTAATAGCTTGAGGAACTTGACAGCTAGATAAGACAGGAAATTGATTAGGAGGAAGGAAAATTCCTAAAGCACCACCTACAGGTGTTTAAAATGGAACTGCAAGTAGAAGGCCTTTTTCCTCCTCTGCTTCCTCTTTTCTGCTTCCGTGGCCACTTATATCAGAGAGAACCAAATGCTCTCAATGTGACTTCACAGTGAGAAAGCAAGTTAATTCACATTTCCATCACTGTGTAGTCACAAAGAGATCTCACCTTATAGGAAAGGAAAAATATGCTGCATGTTGTGATGTCAGGGGAGTATGTGCATACAGAGGGTGTGTACATGGTGTGTGAGAGAGAATGGAGCAAGAGAGAAGACTGTATGAGTTCACCTGTGCACATGTATCCATGCACATATTCAGGTAGTGATAACCTGACTCATCACCATTACCACATGAAACACATGTTGTCTAGAACTAGTTTATAGTGTTGCCGTTATGAAGAGAATATGAAATGCACCCCCATCCCCCCACTGGGAACTGCAGGCTGAGGAAGTGTCCCACATTATCCATAATGTCAAAATATTCCTTCATTTGAATTACCCATTAGTTGAACTGACAACAGAGTCTACCTTCCTGATGTTTTTGCATCAAAGCAGAAAGACAGCTGTTAAGGCTTGCACACACTTCAGCAGCTCTGTATCTTCTGCTCTGTTCAGCACACCACATGTAATGTAGATCTAAACAGTTCTACACATAGACTGTCAGCTGAACAAATTGTTGGTCAGATGTTAATTTCTGCTTTTAAAATTACCTACTGATAACACGGGAACTGAAAAAGACAAAATATTTGAGGTATATTGAGCTTGAAGCCTAATGACAGATTTTACCATTATCAAATTCTGTTGAAGTTTGCAAAAATCAAACTAACTAGCACACTAATATATGACTGTACAAGTTCAAGAAAAAACAATGAAAGAGTGAAGATTAAGCATTTTTCAACAAACATATATAAAGTTTTATTGTCAAATCAGAAATAAGAAGTCTGAACTACTAAGGAAATATTTAAGTTAAGAAGAAATCCACACAGGCATTTGTTGTGCTATTTGGTGCACTGATGGGTCAGGTTGGTTTGCTCTTTTTGGATATCGCTGGAGCAGACTAGTTTGTTCCAACATGCAGCTTTTTGAACCATATCAGGGCAGTTCTGATTTCATACAAGTTGGAGGGTTCTAGGTTAGTTCATTCCCAACAAGTGTGGTTGGTTGGAATGGACTAAACTAGAGCCTTGCAGCTCCTTCTAATGTAAATTTCAGTATTCTGAAGTGGCTTACAAGCCACTTCAGGATATCTGAAATTGAACATTTCCCCTGATTATGGAGGATCAGGGAAAGTGAAATTATTATTTTTTACATTTATTAGATCATCATTAAAGCGATGGATCCCTTCATTTCAATGTAATTTTTTCCCTTGCCTGTGTATTGCTGATTGAAACTGCAGCTGTGGGTAGTGTCTTGATCAGCAATAAGAAAAACATTTTAAAAAATTTAAATGAAGTGATCAATTGCATCAGCAATAATCTAGTGGACTTTTTAAAAAATTCACTTTCCCTGACCCTCCACAGACGATCAGGGGGAGCAGTTAATTCACAGTGGACAGCTACCAACTTAAAAAAATCACTTTCCCTGACCCTCCACAGATGATCAGGGGCAGCAGTTAATTCACAGTGGACAGCTACCAAGGGTTGTTTGCTGCTCAGATGGGGGGAGCACACCAAATAGCACATCATCTTCCCCCCACCCCCCGCACATCAAGCAACCCTTTGTAGCCTGATCCAGCACATATCAAAACAGCCAATCTGGACAAGCCCTAATTCTTACATTATAGTTCACAACTAAGTAATAAAATGGCTGCATATTCAAATAAAAAAAATCTTATTTCTCCTTTCAGACTTACTCCTTAATATTGTAGTTTCGGATTTTGCTTTTCTGTTGAGAGGTTTTGGGCTTCCTGGATTGGTTGCAGGATGACTTTTTTGGTCTTAGCTTTGAAAGTACATTAAATTTATTGCCCGTAATTGTCAATGGAGGTACTGATGCTCTCTGTTTACATCTTGCTTGTCCTTTTTCTTGAGAGTCTTCAAGTCTTTCAGGTTCATAGATAATGTGAGAATTTTCTGCAAATCAGAAAGAAGAGAAAATTGACATTATTTTTATCCAGCTTCATCTGCCCAGAGCAGTGCCAGTACGGGCATCAGGAACACAAAATAGGTAGCGAGCATTCTGAAGTAAATCTGATCACTTCCAGTTGCTACAGCTGTATTTCAAGGAAGCTAGTATTGGCATTAGGGCTGGACAATGAAGCATATACCCTTAACATGGCAACCTGCAAATGATATAGTACCAGTCATTCCCACTGCATTTTTCATTTTACTTTTTAAAAGACTGTGCTAATGGAACAAACAGAGTGGCATGTGACATGGTGATTAGTGCAGACGGTATGTAGCTATGTCCTCCAGAGAGCCTCTTGTCCAGAAGTACAACCAAGGGGTCCAGAACCAAAAGTCAAAAGATACATTTTGTTTGCAAGACCCATAATGGTGATGGCATTATCATTCCTCAATGAATCAGATTTTATTATTGTAAAGTAATGGTATAACATAAAATATGTGAAAGCACAAATATTACTGAGAGAATGTATCATTTTACTTTCTGTGTACTTTGAACATACAACAATTTACTATTCATAAGCCATTTGCTCCCTTATTACTATCAGTGACCAGTGTTTTAAGATGCAGATGAGGATATCCAGCTCATTCTGTACATTGTACATGCACCCTGTGACTCCAAATGGTTTCTTCCGTGCCCTAGTGATTGTTCTAATTGATCCTATTCCCTGAAATCCTCCATGTCACAGATTTCTAGTCAAAAAAGAAAATCAGTTATTAGCACGTGTTATCTTGCAGATCTGATTTTGATCAAATGCTCTTTTCAAGCTGAGTGGCTTTCCATATTCCAGCCTACACAGAAGGAAAGTAAGCTCCTACTAGAGAACCAGATTATGCTTCAGTGAAGGAAACAGACAGATTTATTTTGATAATAGTAGCCCACTTTCCTTTCACACTACACCAGAGAACAGAGAAGCCTCTTTTTCCCCACCCACCCTGCTTGGAAGAAAAGTTGAATGGAAAGTAACTGTGTGAATGGAAGGAAGTGTGTGATTGAAGAGCGGATAGATGGATATGAGCATGTGTAGGAATAAATATGCATGTAAGAATTAGTAAGTGCATTTGACTGTGATAGCCCAGGCTGCAACTGCTGCTGGCTATGATCATGTCCACTGTCCTGTAGCCTTCAAGTACATTAGCCACCACATGCGATGATGCCTGGGGCAAAAATGCTGCTCACCCTTGTTCTACATAAAAGGATGGATTGTCTGGTCGTGCACATTCCATTTCCCAGAAGCAGATAATCTGCATGACAACATGAATTATTCTAGCTCTGCTACTACTTTTCTCATAATCAAAATACTCCATTTCACACTTAACTGTTCTGATTTTATGGTAGAAATGGTCAAGTATACAATATTACATCAGAATAGGTTAATATTTGTAAAGCACTTGGAAGATTAAAAGTCATACATAATACCAAACAAAAATTGCATACTTAAAAGCTAGAAAGGAGTTCATATCTCTCTATTGGTTAATATTCTACTCAGCCCTCTTATTGTCTGGTTCTTTACCCAGAACATGGAATAAGTGTTGAAATTTCGTCCCCTACGCAAAACAGAAAGATAACATATGACCCAACAAATGGACCAATGCTACTGACTTACAATAAAGTGGTTCTTCAATTTTCATCATCCAAGTTCAAATATTGCAGCAGAATATCTATTGCTGACTATCCTCTATTTTTCTGCCCTTTGGCATCCTTTCACATGTAGCTGAAATTCCCAAAGGAGCTCTGAATATAAAACATGACCACTGTCCCAGTAATCTAAAATGTTTATTTTCCATTTACAGAGAAGCTATCCATTTAATTCTGTGGATCAGTGCAATAATGATCTCAAAAGCTAAAGCAAACCATATTCTGGCAGAAAAGTCTGAGAAATTTCAAAGGCTCCTTCTTTAGAGATGTACATTTTCTAGACCTTCTATCAGATATGGGGAAGAACTTAGCAAAAAAAAACATATAGAAGGATATTATAATCTTTAAAGTGTTGAACTGGGGAACATTCACACAAAAGGACAGTTGGAGATTGCTGCTGTGCACATGTGTTTGTGTCCTGATGGTAGAAATCTTCAGCTGAGAACTGGAATACTATGAGTCCATAGATAAAGTGGGCAGATTAGAAATTAAGATCATAGAGAATCTGTGGGAAAAGTGGAATTCTTTACCTATCTTTCTCCTTAAAAAAGATTGAAGGTAGCTTACATAGAGATATAAAATTTCTGAAAATGTCCATTTTTTTCGGGGGGGGAACATCTCTAGGCTTACATCATTAAAAGACGAAGGTAGCTTACATAGAGATATAACATTTCTGAAAATGTCCATTTTTTTCAGGGGGGGGGAAAACATCTCTAGGCTTACATCATTAAAAGACAGTATTTAAAGCTAACAACAGTGAGTATATGAGTACTAAAAAGGATCAAACAAATAGCATATTAAAATGGTAAATGTAAGCAACACCAAAATACATTCAAAGTACAACAAAGCATTTTAAAACCTCACACAGTCAGTATGTCACTAAGGGAAACCTTGCCTGAAGAGAAAGGTCCACCTGCTTGTTGAAGGATAGTAAAGATGGGGCCAACCTGGCCTCCTGTGGGAGGAAGTTCCAGTGTCTGCATGAGAGTTCCAAAGTCTGGGAGCAGCAACAGAGAACGCCCTTTCCTGTGTACCCACCAAACATACCTGTGAAAGTGGCAGGACTGAGAGAAACGCCTCTCCTGAAGATCTTAACACCCAAGCAGGTTCATAAAGGGAGATGTGGTTCTTGAGATAGCTTGGGCCCAAGCTGTTAAGGGCTTTGTAAATTAGAACCAGCACTTTGGATTGTGCCTAGAAGTACTGGAAGCCAGCAATAAGTTTTCTTTACTGAATTTCCTGAAATCTGACAACCTGTTTACCATGATCTTTAAGGGAAGGCATCACACCACACAGAACAGGTATTTTGATAAACCATTAAGCAACAATACTTCTGTCTTAGAAGGATTTAGCTTTAGTTATGTTATTGAGAAAAAGGAGTAGGAGAAGGATATTGCCTTGCTTGTGGATTTATTAGTAACACATGCAGGCTGCTGTGAAAGGAGCAGACTGGATTAAAATCAGAGGTGGGCTACATGTGCCCCCTCCTTCCTGGCCTTTTCTGTGTTTCCTCAAGGATCATCAATGTTGCTCAATTTACTGTTACTGCAGCAGGAAAACATAGTGCCCAAAGGAAAAGATGAGTGTTACCTTTATCGCACCACTTTAAAAAAAATCACAAACATAAGCTAGCTTTTGAGCCTGTAGAGGTCTTTATCAGACCAGTCACCATAGAACTGGGGGTGGTGCAGAAAAGACAGCAAAGTTCTAAAACGTATGGCCAGATTTGCATGTCAGTCTTCTTTGTTAAGAGCAAGTTTCAAAATTGGGGTGGTAGATTCAGGTCAGCAGTACAGGTTTAGATTATTTATCGGACCACTTTAAAAAAATCACAAACATCAGACAAAAAATTGTCAACCATTTGGATCAAAAGCTAATGTACCTGTAGAGGTCTTTATCAGACCAGTCACCATAGAACTGGGGGTGGTGCAGAAAAGACAGCAAAGTTCTAAAACGTATGGCCAGATTTGCATGTCAGTCTTCTTTGTTAAGAGCAAGTTTCAAAATTGGGGTGGTAGATTCAGGTCAGCAGTACAGGTTTAGATTTCACATATGATAGTGTAGATTAGATTGTCTCTCCTAACTGTTTTAGACAAAGAACTGTCAACCATTTGGATCAAAAGCTAATGTATTTTGTGATTTTCTATGATGTAAGAAAGGACAGGTTGCTTACCTGTAACTATAGTTCTTCGAGTGGCCATCTCTACCTGCTTCACAAAGGGCTATACAGGGAAAAAAACTGGCAATAGCAGCTACAAAGTACAGTATTCTGTGGTTAGCATTTCTTCTTTGGGATGGGACTAGAGGTAGGTCATAGCACATTTCATTCTGTCAAACAGAAAACTTCTCCAGGCAGCACGATTTCCAAGCTGAGGCAAAGGAACCTGAAGTGTTACATCCATGATAGAGTGTGGAATATCAACCCAAGCAACTATTGGCAGTGAGAAGCTCAGATACATTGCACAAACCTCCTTTAAAGTACTTACTGTTGCTCTGTGGTTTACAGCTATAATCATACCAACAATCATCTTAACTCAGATTGTTGATACTTGGTCCAAAGAAGATGGCCTTCTGGAACACATTAGCCAGTTGTACTTCTCCTGAGGCCAAAATGCTGTCACTATAATAGGGTAGAGTAAACAGGACCACATAATTTTGTGTAGGTACTGCTCTTGCATAAGCAAGCATTTCCTTAAAGAAAATCTAACCTCCACTTGTATAATGCCTGTGTGAGTGGTGTGGTTTCAGATTATTATGCCTGACAAACTTTCTGCTCAGCAGAGGTAAGCTGAATACTGGCTGGCCACTCAGTACAGCTATTGAAGTTACAATTAAACTCTGAAAACGTTACACTGGTATGTCCCAAGACAAATGTGTAGTGTATGGGTATCATACTGGACAGTGTATAGATTTTTTTTAGCATTGGAATGCACACATTTCTCAGATGTGGATGTATGTGGATTTAAAGATGCATTGTGCGATGTTCATGCATGTTGTGCTCACTGTGGTTTAACACTGGTGTTTTCCAGAGTAGTCCTAATATATGGAGTTATCCTTAAAAACTTCACAAGAAAATACCATGAGTAAAGGACAGCTACACAAATCAATTAGACAGACATGGTCTACAAATTTAATGGTCAGGACTGTAACAAAATTTAAGAGAGAAAGTTTCATGTCTAAGATCTGGTTGATGTAGGAAAAATTATAATCTAACTGCTACTTTATAAAAGAAGCCAAGCTAGTTTGGCATGAATAAAGTCCTAAAGATGTGCAGCCTCCTTACAAATTAATGTAAATTTATTGTATTGTT